CAATTCCTGCAAGGCAACGAGCTCTTTTCACCACCAGCACAAATTCAGGGGTCGGGAAAGGCCCGGGGAGGGCCCGGGGAAGGGAAGTTAAAAAGCCTGGAACACTAAAGGGCCTTTCAGGCTCATTTATTCGAGCGGTGCCAACCAGGATTTTCTTCCTGCACTCCCAGCCAGGGCTTTGGGATCCCATAAATCATCTCTGGCCACAGAGACATTAAAATTCTCCCCCAGTCCTGCCTGAGATGAAATGAGGCCGAATGGCAGCGAGAGCAGCTGGAGGGAAAGGCAGGAGCAGGAAAAATCAGGATAGAAATGGAGCTGCAGAGAAGCAACACCTGATTTTGGTGTCAGACGAGGCAAAATCTGCCACAAACAGATCTGGAAATGGATGATTTGGAAGGTCTCTTCCAAGCCTAACTATTCTGGGATTCCGTGATTAATAAGCCCAGCTTTGGGAAAGCTGATCCTCAGTAAACTAGAACTAAAATATCGGTATAAAGTCCAGTAGAAAAACAGACTCAGTAATGAACAGATAACAAACCAGAGAAAATAGACTCGGGACTAACAGACCTGGGACAAAGCAGGGAGAACAGACCCAGTACTAATAGATCTGGGACAAACCAGGGAAAACAGGCTCAGTTCTAACAGATCTGGGACAAACCAGGGAAAATAGGCTCTGGACTAAGACCTAGGACAAACTAGGGAAAATAGGCCCAGTATTAATAAATCTGGGACAAACCAGGGAAAATAGATTCAGTACTAACAGATCTGTGCAAACTAGGGAAAATAGGCTCAGTTCTAACAGATCTGGCACAAACCAGGGAAAACAGACTCAGTTCTAACATACCTGGTACAAACCAGGGAAAATGGGCTCTGGACTAACAGATCTGGGACAAACCAGGGGAAACAGACTCAGGACTAACAGATCTGGGACAAACAAGGGGAAATAGGCTCAGTTCTAACAGATCTGGGACAAACCAGAGAAAATAGGCTCAGTACTAATAAATCTGGGACAAACCAGAGAAATAGACTCAGGACTAACAGATCTGGCACAAACCAGGGAAAATAGACCCAGTACTAAGAGATCTGGGACAAACCAGAGAAAACAGGCTTGGTACTAATAAATCTGTACAAGCTAGGGAAAACAGGCTCAGTTCTAACAGATCTGGTACAAACCAGGGAAAACAGACTCAGTTCTAACAGATCTGGGACAAAATAGGGAAAATAGGCTCAGTACTAATAAATCTGTACAAACTAGGGAAAATAGGCTCAGTTCTAACAGATCTGGTATAAAAGGGGGGGGGTGGGAAGGCAGCACATATTAAGGGTGGAGCATCACTGAGGGATTTAGGAATTGCTGGTGGGTCTCTGTTGGGACAAATTGGACATCCAGGGATAGTTCTGGGGAGGGAGGATGGAATTATGGGTGGAGGAATCATGTTAAGGAGCTTTTCCAACCCCTGCAATGCCAAGAGGGCCAATTTGACTTCCTGCAAGGAACCTTCTTGCTGTTCAGGAGCAAAGTAAAAGGAACATCCAGGAAAACGCAAGGAAGCACAGGGAACACGAAGAAAAAGAAGGTTTAAATGACGGAAAACATGGCTAAAACAAAGGAAAATAGGATGGCTCAGAAACACCCTAAAAATGAACAAAGCCATCAAACCCCCAGTTTCATTCTGTGATCTAGAGACGAAGAAAAAAAAGACAATAAAAAACCCCTTCAGTCACCAATTTTAATCCTGAATCCACATTTTCAAAGCAATCACCGGTTAGAATTTGCTGATGTGCAAGGGAAGGGAAGAGCTTTGGTGGGGCTGCTGCTTAAAACAGAAATAAAAATAAAATTATGAAAATAAAAATGAAAATAAAAATGAAAATTAAAATGAAAATAAAAATTAAAAACATGTTTCCAAGGCCATCTTTTTGGCTTTTTTCCCCCCACCTACACTTTTTTCTCTTCTCTGCCCTCACCACAGGGACAAAACAAGGGGAGAGGGATGTTTCCCAACGTTTCTCTGGAGCTCCAAACCACTTCATAAATTATTTGGGGATCACAGAATCACAAAGGCAGGAAAAGATCTGGAAAAGCATCGAGTCCAACCCTTCTCCCAGCCCTTCCAAGGCCACCACTGACCCATGTCCCCAAGTGCCACATCCACAGGGATTTTGAACACTTCCAGAGATGGGGATTCCGCCCCTAATCGAATCCCAAACCCCTCTGCTTCCTTCTCCATCTCAAAAAACCTCTAAATTTGATAGACAGAAGCCAGGCAGTTCATTTTAAATATGGATTTAGCAGAATTTAAGGGAATTTAATGACCTTCATGTTGCAGGTTTTACAGGAATTTCAAAGGATTCACCTTGGACTTTTTAGCATATTTTTAACATTTCTGTGATTCCATGATTCCACAAGTTGTTTGGAAGTTTCCCAGTATAGAAATCCCACATTTAAACATAAAAACAAGAGTCTCCACAGGTCACAGCTCATTCATCTCCCATTCCAGGAGGATTTCCCTGTCTGCTCCACACACAGCAATTAATAAACATGGAGAAATGCCAGAGGGAAAATATTCACTGTATCCACTTCATCCATTTTTAATCCCCCTGAAATCAATTCAATGCCCTGAAAATTCCTGTTTTACACAACTGGTAAGCAATGGATCCCCTAATTAAATATCCCAATCCATGGAAGGGGGGGACATGCAGGAAGATCTTAGAAGGAGAGGGAAAAGGAAGGAGGGAGAAGCCCAATCCCACCTGCTTTGGCATCAAAGCCTAACGTTCCTCAGCGCTCCCCAAAAATGTGATCAGGAATACCAAAAAGAATGGGAAAAAAAGGCAAATTTATCCTCTTTCCACACGGCACAACTTGGAAAGAGCCAGTCTCTATCAAAGCCCAGATTTTCCAGGGAATAACACAGCCCAATTTGAATTTCAAGTTAACAAAAAGGCTGAAATCACTCTTGGAATTCTCTGTGTCCCACAAAGGAGGGTTAAAAGGAGGATTTCTACCAGGGAAGCTGTGGCTGCCACATCCCTGGAAGTGTCCAAGGCCAGGCTGGAGCAACCTGGGACAGTGGAAGGTGTCCCTGCCCATGGCAGGGGGTGGGATTGGATGAGCTTTAAGGTCTCTTCCCACTCAAACCATCCCGGAATTCCATGAGCATCCCTCCCAGGCTGGGAAGTGCAGCAGGACCGGAGGGATGTCGTGCACTGGAGCGACACAAACTCCCCTGGAGACTTCCCAACTGGTTTCGCATCTTTGGGCTCCTGGATTTTATTCCCATTTATTATTCAGCAATAAGGAACATGGAGTCAGTCAGGCCCTGAATTCCAGCATCTCATCAGCATATTAATGAGATCCTGGGAGGGAAAGGATCCCAGCGGGAGGGAGAACAAACACCACTGGAATCAAACAAGGAGAGGTTGGATTCCTCACCCCTGATTCCACACCAACAGGCTGATCCATCCACAGCACTACTGCCTTCCTGGAGTGGGTGCAGGAAAACAGGAAGGGGAACATTCCAAAGGAAAACCAGGTGGTTCAGCAGCTCAGATTTTGTTGGGGGGGAAGGAATCCTACCAAGCCTTAAATCCAATTAAAAATCAGCCTCAATTCAAACAACAGCTTCCCAATTCTGCCTCTATTTCACCAAATAACTCTGATTTAAAACCTCCTGGTTTAAACTTGATTTTTATTTCCTCTAAAGATCCATCTAAGCCAGCCCACACTTTAAAAATTCTTTAGGAAATCACTGTCCTTCAAGGAAGATCAGACTGGGAAAATGAAGGATATGAATAAAGGGATGGTGCTCCAAGTCCCTGGGTCTGTGCCAAGGATTCCCCACTCTTCCTAACACAAGGATTTCTCAGTTTCCCCAACAGCCAATTTGGCACAAAAACTTTTATTATTTCTCTTGGAATGGATCTCTCTCCCCACCCCACTGGAGTTTTATTCCACAGCTCTTCCCATAAGTTCTGAGCCCACCCTCAGGAGTTGCCTCTTTTCTGTACAGAGGTTAAAATTCCAATTTTCTCCTCCTCCTTTGCTGCAGAACTTTATATTTCCTGAAATATTCCAACTAATTCAGATTTAAAAGGTTTTCGTTCCCTGGAATATTCCGTACACAAAGGAGCTGAGAGTGTCTGATGCTCACTTCCACAAAAGTACATTCCCAAGCAATTCCACACATCAGGGGGAAGTCAACATGCCCAACAGGCCCCACAAATATAAAGTCTTGACACAACATGACACCCAAGACCTAATTACATCCAAAATGGGAGAAGAAGGAGTTTTCCAAGGCTCGTTTTGGAAGGTGCTCGTGAGAGCAAAATCCACGGGGAAAACCACCGAGTTTTTCCACCTAAATTCTTTCCACATCAGAACCCTTCAGCTGCAGAATTATGGGAAACATCTTGCAGTGCCTTGCTGGAGTATTAAAAATTACATTTTTAGACAACTCAGTTCCAAAGAAGGGCTTTAAACCAGACTCGCTCCTCAACATCAGATGGGCTCAAGCAGAGCGGAACCTGAGAGCAAAGAACTCAGCCAAGAACAGGGTTTAAGTCCCCACCTCCAAGAGTAACTGTACATTCTCCAAACAACAGGAGATCCTGGGGGGATCCTCACTTCTCCAGCTGGATTATTCCAGCACGTGCATGGGAAGCTCAGCTCAGCTCTGGAGGGAAGTTGAGCCCAGTTGCAGAGCCAAGCCCAGCTCAGCTCCACACACAAAGCTCCCACTGACCCTCCCAGTAACTTCTCGCCTGTTTTGTTTATCTGAAGAAACCCCCTTTTGATCCTTTTCCTTAGGATTTCCAGGGCATCCTCCTATGGATTCAACTCTCCTCACTACTCACTGCATTGACGCCGCTGGAAGGTTTTCCCTGTGAATCCCGTTCCCTGATGGGAACTCTTTCTCCCATCGCTCCTGACTGACCACCTGCTCCTCCAGTGGGACATGGACACTTGGGAAGGAGCCAGGGAACACCAGTCCTACCTGTGTATGCCATGTTCTTCGGGTTTCCATAGGGAGCCCCCGGTTGGACGGGGCTGTAAACAGGATTCATGGTGGAAGACCAGGAACTCTGGGAACAAAAGAAAAGCAGAGTTGAGATGTTGGCTCCAAACATCCCCCTGTTAGAATTCCAGACACAGAGAGCTGGGAAGGGAAGGATTTACAACCAGACATCACAACCAGAGAGATATTTAATAATTCAAGGCTTGGATCTCTCTGTTAATTCCCAGAAATTCTCCAGCGCTGTGTGTTCTCCTACAAATGGAGCAGATGGATCTGACACATCCCTGCTCTGGGGGGGCTCAGCATTCATGACCCCACTTCCAGCTGCAACAAAGAGGAGAAGCCACCAGTCAGACAAGGAATCCTCTCCCTTGGAAGAGGGAAAAGTTCTTGGGTGATGAAACCAACCCCAACCGAGCCCCGACCTTTGGGGAATCAGGAGATCAAAGCCCATCTGCAAAGTTTTGTGGAGTGGGAAAACCCGGAGGCCAAGGCCTGGCTCCTGGGTAGGGCATCCAGTGGCACCCACCCCTCTCCCAGACAGGGACATGGAATCAAGATCTTCCGTGAGCCAGGAGATTCCAAGAGCCCTCGCGTTCCGGTGGAGCCGGGTCAGCTCCTCGGGAGTTTTCTTCAGAGGAAAGCCAAGGAACTTGGGAATTTGTGTCTCCCAAGTGTCAGTTAAGCAAGTGGCTCAGTTAATTATCTTAATGAAGCACATTCTCAGTCGTGATTAAGGGGAAAATCAGTCATTAAGCTCTATTAGGCAGCACATTTGTCTGCACAGTTATCCAGTGACGATCTCACGCCAGACCCAAAACCATCCTGCCTTCCCAGTCCGGGGGTTTTTGTTCCAATGTGCTGTTTTCCAGGTCATAAATAACCCCCTCCTTCCCAACCAAGTTTCTGGTGATGGATGCACAGTTTGGTGGATCATTAACTCCTCCTGCTTTACCTCCAATCATAAACAAGTCCAACGGTGAATGGCAGCACCGACCGACTTGACAACAATTAGTGCTTAATTAATTAGCTGTCCCTCCACCCCCCAGCTGGCACAGGAGGAGCAGTTCTGAAAGCCAAGGAAATCAGGGTTATAAAGCAAAGCCACAGGGACACAGGGATTGCCATCAGTGGCCTCATGGAGTGTTCAGATCACCAGGAAAATCAGTGTAGAACTTTATGTCCGTGGAATGTTTGGGCTCGGGACTGACATTCCAGCAGAAGGGTTTGATGGCCCTTGTCCAAAGTCCCCTTCCCTGGGGAGCCTGTTCCAACATCTATGAACAAAATAAAATAAAATAAAATAAAATAAAATAATAAACCTGGTATCCCAAATCCAGGAAGTTCCTGAAGTTATTCTCGTTATCCTTTCGAAATAAGGGAATAAAATATTTACAAACAGAGTCCTAATGCAAAATAAATCTATTTTCCAGGGGGTTTAAAGCAGTGACACAGACAGGTGAGTCCTTGTGTCAAGGTGACCTTCCCTTTCCCCTCCCATTGCACTGTCCTTGTGAAAGTAGGATGGAAATGCTTTTGGGAGCCCCTTCGGGAAAAGAGCAGGATTTTCTCTGTGTGCCAAAAAATCCCTTATTTCCCACCAGGCAGCAGAAAACCAACATGAAGAGTGGGAACAAAGAGAGAAGACAAAGCAAAAAAGCAACGTTTCCTCCCTGACCTGTCGGCCCTCAACATTCATGTTATGCAAATCACATGCAAATCACATCCAGCCAAAGTCTCCTTGAACATGAAAAGGCCTCCTGACCTTGCACTGCATCCAAATCCCAATAATTTCCTGACAACTTTTCAGGGAAGTCCTTTGAAGCCTGACTCTCACTTGGGATCCACGAACAGTAATTAAATTAACTCCCATTTCAGCTGCTAAAGGTTCATTCAGGAGGTTCCAGGGCTCTATCCCACCTCTTCCCCAAAAAAGGCTGCTGTGAGCTCAGAAATTTGTAACACAAGGGGGTTCCCCCTCAATTAACAGCTCTTGTTTTAATTACTCTTTTATTTTGGCTACACCAGAACCAAAAGTTGATTGGACATGCCTCACATGGAACAAAACATTTGATTTGCTATAGAAATAGAACAGGAATTCTAATGGAAAACAAGAACCATGGAATGGTTTGGGTTGGGAGGGACCTTAAAGCTCATCCAGTTCCATGGGCAGGGACACTTTCCACTATCCCAGGTTGCTCCAATCTGGCCTGGAAGCAGCTCCCCTGCAAGAAATTCCAGACTGAGGAAAACCCAAGGATGTTGGCAGAGCTGGTCTTATATTGGCTTGTTTTCTCTTTCCACAGATGGATCCCGTGCTGTGAATTCCCAGCTTTTCCTCTGTGGGATGACGGGTTTCACCCCCAGGTGACCCACAAACACATGGATTTCTTCAAAGCTCCATGTGTGTCCAACTCTGCTCTCAGCAGTTCCCAAACAGCTTCCTTGATATATTCCCTATTAATTCCTTTCACTGCAAGCCTTGCTGATGTTCCCTTTGCAAGTGATCCCTGCTGGAATCTTGTGCTCCCGACTGAGCCGCGTCCTCCTCCAGCTGATCATCTCCTTTCCTTTATCTCCACAACCCTAATTCCTTGTGTTTTGCTGGAAAGACCTCCAGGAACACAAGACACTTCTCTCTGCCCCTTTCTTTCCCCAAATGATGGATTGGGAGACTCCGGCTGGCCACTGGGAAAAGCCCTTTGGAGAGGCGGGCACTGCGTTACTGCACCAGGTTCACCAGGGATTTGCTGGATGGAACGGTTTTCCAAGGTTTGGGATATTCCTAATGGCCTCCAGCCAGGAGTTTCCTTCTGGTGGGACACCAGAAACCTTGGAGGGGTGGGAGGGCAGCGCTCCCACTTTTCTATTCATGGATATCTCATACTCAGTCAGAGAAATGAGGTTGTGATGCCTCATCACCCTCACAGCCAAGAATTCCTTCCCAATATCCCATCTAACCCTGCCCTCTGGCACTGGGAAGCCATTCCCCCTTGTCTTGCCCCTCCAGCCCCTTGGGAAAAACTACTTTATGGGATTCAATGAGCGTTTACAAGGACTTGAAGTAGGAATGTGATGAATTCACAAGTTCCGTTTTACTTGGAAAATAAACTCGACATTCCCAGATGATGTTTTGGGAAATATTGGGTGGCATGGTTTTTTTTTTTCCCTTTACAAAATAACAGAGTTCCTGGTTTAATTCAGTTTTAGGAGCTGATTCCAACAGCAAGGAAGAACTAAGGAATTAAATCTATAATAAGCAGGCCAAGGTGTAAGACAGGACCTAGGCCAGATGCTTGTCCTCTGGAAAACCAGTCCTAAGATGTTCCACAACGGCCCAGGGAACAGAGGGAAAGCACAGGGCAGGACCTGGGTGATCCCACAGGAATTGCCAGGCAACAGGAGGGGAAAAAAATGTCTCTGATGGCAAGAAAAGGAGGGGAATTGTGAGAGGAGCCACAACCTCTTCGATCCAGAGAGCCTGGGAATACACATCCAGAAAGAACAAGGAAAATGCTTCCCAAGACCCCTCTTTCTTCCTTTAGGTTTGTTTTTTCCCCAATAAAACCTTTTAAAATCAATATAAAATATTCTGGTTATTCCTTTTCAAGGAATAATATGCATTGAATCAAATTTAAGTTGATCATTTGATATTTAATTCCTTTAATTACAGACATGCATTTGAATGGAATGGGGTGGGAATATGGAAGTCAGAACACAGGGAATGACATCCCATAAATATAATATACATTTCTCCATAGGAATTTCCCAGGGCACAACCATCCCTGCATTACTAGGATCATGCCTTCCCGGTATTCCTCAATGGCATTACTGGGAACGTGTTATCCCACCAGTATCCTTCACTGGTATTCCTGGGAATGTGTCTGGAGCTCTCCTTTTTTTATTTGATGCCAAATACCTGTTACTGGCTGGAAAGAAAAGGAAAAGTCTGATCCCAAAGGACAGGAATGACATTGTGGAATTCTATCCTGCATTTCCACAAAACACAAGCAAAATATTATTTTTAGGAAAAGGATTTTTCTCCCAGAGGGAGCACTGGAACAGGCTCCCTAAGGAAGTGGCCACTTCCAAAGCTGCCAGAGCTCAAGGAGCACATGGTGAGATTGTTGGGGTGTCCTGGAGCTGGACCTTGATCCTTGTGGGTCCCTCCCAACCCTGGATATCCCTGGATTGTATGATCTGCTGAGGCAGCCGTGTGGGAGCAGAGCAGAATTCCCATCCCTCCATAGCTACATTCCCGAGCTCCTGAGTGACCCAGGACTTGTAATCCCCTTCTACTGGAGCGTGGTGGATACAAACACTAATCCTCCTGATTTGCAATTCCCAGCTGATCCCGAAAATCTTCTGCAGACACTGGATGGGGGAATAGAAAAGGGAGCAGAGACACAACAGCAGTGACGAGGTCAAGCCAAAAAACCTCCTCAGCCCCTGACAGCTGGAAAACATCATGGGATCAAATATCCTGGGATCAATAGGAAAGCCATAAGAACTGAAGAACGCTCCTTGAGGAATTGGATTAGGAAGGAAGAGGGAGAAATTCCAGAGGCGGAGGGAATGTAAAAGCAGCAAGTGCATCTTGGAGCCCAAAGCCAGGAGCAGAGGCTGAGTCACAGCAGCTATATTTGGAATAAATCCAGAAGAATCATTCCTAAAATAGGTGAACTAAACCCTAAGAAGGAGAAAAAGGAAATTCCATCCTGAATATAAAGTGAAAAACCTCCTCTTGCAAAGTTCAACGTGGTAAGGAAAGCTCTGGTCTCACCAGCATCCCAAGGGAATGAAACACCGAGGGAGCTGAAGGGGACCTTTGTTAAACATAATCCTGGAATTACAAAAGAGCCACAGGAAAACACGGCTCCATTTCCAGCCTTGTAATCCCGTACTTAACGCCCTCTGTCCCTTGGAAAGAAAAAAAACACCCCTGTTTTGTTGGGGTTTGAAGGCTGGTCAGTGTTTACTCACAGACCAAAGCCAGGCTCCAGCTGAACAGCAGGAACGGCAGGAACTCCAGGAGTTTGCTTTCCCAGGGGTGATGAGACTGGGAGAG